GGCACAGAGATCGGGGCGGGGGCACAGAGATCGGGGCGGGGGCACAGAGATCGGGGCGGGGGCACAGAGATCGGGGCGGGGGCACAGGCCAGGGCCACGCGCAAGAGTCGCTCCCACTCTGTCTTTCCCGATATTGTCACAGGGTCAGTGCTGGGGGGAGAATGTCGTCACTGTGATCGCAGGTGCACGGCCGAGGAAGAGCGCGCCGCTCTGCCCAGGCAGGGGTGCTGCTGCCTGCGGTCCCCGGGCGGCCCGAGGAGCTGGCGCGGCTGATGTCCCCTCTCTGTCCCCCGCAGTCCTCGCTGCTGCGCACCCTGCGGCTCTCGGACGCCCTGAGGAAGAACCAGCTCTGGAACGGGACGGTCAGCATCGCGCTGCTGGAGGGGAAGGATGTCTCGGGGGGCAACGTGGCGGAGATGTTTGTGCTGCTGAAGCTGGGGGAGCAGAGGTACAAAAGCAAGGTAAGCCGCCAGCTCCTGGGGACAACGGGAAATCACGTCTTAAAAAAACCGATGTTTTGGAAAAAGCCTTTTCCCGCTCCACATTTTGCAAGAATAGAAGTTCCTTCTTTTTAACCCGCTTAACTGTGTTAGGATTATTCCAGAAAGCAAATGATGGCAGAGATGCAGCCAATTAGTAGGAGTATTTGATTGCTGAGTTTAGTTTATTTTCACCCAGTGATTAGAGCTAGAGAGAGCTTATTAAATAATAGATTGGAAGGCATGATTTATTTTGTTTTGATAAGCAAACTGTGTTTCAAGAATTCGGGAAAAGGGTAACTGAATGTTTTCAGAATCTAACAAAAATAAAACAGTAATATATGTTATATTTGGGTTACAATATCTATGATAACTAAAACTATTTTCAAAATTATATACAGTTTTCTTTCCCTTACTTGTTAGTCTTTACGCCAAAAGTAGACTTCGAGGGCTGCTGTTTTTTTGCTGTGATTTAAAAAAACAAACTATCTGAAGTATTAAAAGTGATTTGTTTTGAAAAAGAATAATGGCATTTTTAGCTGTCTTTAAAAATCAGTCATCTTATTCCGTCGATCCAAATTCCATTTAATTTTTAATCTTACTAATTTGGTGTGGTTTCTATTTCAAAACCCAGAGTCTCCAAACCATGGTAATTAATTAGTTTTGCATAACTGTCAGACAGGAATATTTTCTGTGTTTTATGGATCGAGGGAACTGGGGTACTTGAACGTTAAGCCACTTGCCAAAAGCCACATAATAAAAAAAAAAATAAAAAAACTCCAGTGGAAGATTTTGAAAATAGACCCGAGGATATTTGCAGTCGAGGCTTTCCCGGGTGGAAGGCATAACAGATGCAGACAAGTTGGAAAGTGATTTAGGGAGGCAAGGGGTTGTCTCTGATGTACAATTTTCAGCACAAAATCAAACATTAAGCGTCATTTACACCAGCCCAAGGACTAGGGAATTGAGGCTCGTGTTGACGACTCGTTGATAAAAAATGTGAAAAACTGAGGGCCAGTGATGGCAGAAATACGCAGATAATTATATTCAGCAGGAAGTTTCAGGCTGTGCCTCACGCCCGGGTAACGCATCCCTGCCTTAGATCCCTGAGCCAGCCAGGGCCGAGCTCAGGATTTATAGAAAAATTATTCATCTCCAGGCATACACTCAGCCCTTTGGACTGAGGTGAAGTGTAGAATTAGTCCAATATCTGCTACATTCCCCCTCGGGGGATATTGCATTTAATTTGTGGTCTAATTGGTTTTTTTTTCCCCCTTTGTGGTTTCTAAATTCTGTGACCTGATATATTAAGTCCGATGTGGAAACAGCTTCAGCGATGTTACGTGACGTTGGCTGCAGCTGGGGTCCGACTCGCCCCTGTTTTCCCATGGGTGACAGTTGGCACTAAGATGCCATAGCTGATGCTGTGCCCCCAGAGCCTGGTACTCCGCGGCCAGCATTTCTACTCACTTTTTAGCCCGAACTGAATCTCTACGTAAATGAAACAAAAATGACAATCCTGCCAGTGGCTCGGGCAGCTGGGACCCCGTCTCGGCGTACACAGAAGCGCTGGGGCTTTCAGCCCTCGTTTGTTCCTTTTCAAATTGGCCACGGTGGAATTTTCTAGTCTTTCTCTCACTCTAGCAGCAAACTGGGATCTAAAAACAGGCAGCAACGTACAAGGCACGGGTGTCCCGAGAAATGCATCTGACAGATGTTAACCAAGACCCCAAACTGTTAATTTATATCGTTCTTAAGCCACTGCTGAGTGGATGTGCCAATAAAAATGATCTGGTGAACCGATTAATATATTTTCTATAAGGTTGAACAACTGTAAAATGCCCATTGAAATATGTCATATATGTGTGTGTGTGTGTATATGTATATATATATATATATATATATATATAAAAGTTGTGGTTTTATATATATACAAAAGTTAGGGCTGCTTGTGAGGTAACAGTGTTCTTTCTAGCTCGGTTGATAAATTATTAAATCTGAGTGGTGATGTTTTGCCAATTCCCAAAACCTCCAAGTCCCTTTCCTTCTGAAAAGGAGAGTTTAACTTTGCAAGGGACAGACAGACATACCCTCCCGCCCTCCTGCCGTTTAGAAATGAAATGTGTAGCTGCTGTTGCACCGAATGGCATTGTGAAGAAAATAAATATTGTAACCGCATGTTTTCTAGACACTGTGTAAGAGTGCAAATCCGCAGTGGCAGGAAGAGTTTGACTTTCACTACTTCTCTGACAGGATGGGCATCTTGGACATTGAAGTCTGGGGAAAGGACAGCAAAAAACACGAGGAGCGACTGGGCACGTGAGTCCCCTCTGCTTTTTGGGGTGGCGGGAGCTGTGTGCGGGGCTTAGGGTCAGACCTCCGATCCCCACCCCGAGGAGCCAGAAGCCAGCTGGCCCCGCGCCTGGGGAAAGTTTCCGTTTTGTCAAATTGGTAGATGCCACTTAGTATTGATTAGGACAGAGGGACGCAGGAGCCTAACTGTGACCCAGCCTTTGGCAGACCCTGGTGGTCAGATTTCTAGCCTGGTCCCATGTCCCCTCCTCCACATACACGGGGTCCCTGAGACGCCCCTTGCGCTCCGACGCGTGGCACCGCGGTGACATACCGGTGCCCGGCCCACACCCCTGGGTGAGGGCATCAGAAACTTGGTGCTCGCCAGCTGAGCAAGGGTGGCTCCCGTCAACGTGCACTGTCCCCAGTGCTATCTGGGTGGCAGGAACGGGGGCCCCCGGTGGTGAAGGCCCCGCGACCTGTTCTCTTGGTGCAGAGTGACGCCCTCTCGCGTCCTGTCGTCGGAAATGCTTTTCCCCATGAGTGTGAAGTCCCTTCTCGGACGCAGGCGCTAATTTCAGGTGTCCCTTGCATGCCACACGCTGTCATGTGGGTATTTATTTAGCACTCCGGCCGTTTCCTGTTTGTAACTTAGGTGCATCCCTGTCCTAGCGGCCAGTCTGTCTTTTCTCTCATGGATTTTAAAGGATTTATTTTGGTTTTTTTTTTTTTGGGGAATCATTTTCCTTTTTCCTCTCCGGCGGTACAAGAAGAGATAACAGAAGTATTTATGGGAGCTGGTTACGTACCGATTCTCAGAGTTAAGGGGAGACGGGGTGATGCCTGCCACAGGCCCGTTCCCCAGTGTCTCTTCCTTCCCATATTTCACTTCTTTCTCATTTCATTTTATTTGTTGTTGCAATTCCAAGGCTCAGTTACTGGATCCCCCAAGTGTCGGGAAATAGCCTTTTGCCTCAGGAGTCCCTTGGACGGTGCGAGTCCCTCACAGCTGTCTCCCGAGGCCTGTCGCGTAGTTTGGTTTTGCAGAGCACCCGACAGTTCTTCATGGCCTCTCCGAGGAAATTCTTGTCATGAGGCTTCCCCTCGGAGGCAGTTTGACGTGAAGGAAGGAACAGCAGCCCCTGAGGTGGACATCCTGGGCTTGCTGGTCAGCACACCCTTTGTAGCTGGGTGACCTTGGCCCGTGAACTTGGAAGCTGCCTCCCTCTCTGGGTAGTGGGGCCACTGGCCTCCTCGCGGGGTCATCAGGACCACCAGCAACAATGCTCATCTGGTACTTAGGTCCTTTCGAGCACCGAAAGGTAGATGCTATTATTACTATTAATCGTGAGACTTTTCTGGATGGCAGCTATAGCTATGACATTTGCAGCTAGACTTAGGCAATTTAAGCACATGAAACAGGACTAGTAAAAATTCAGCCTGTTTTTCTTTTTTCAAAACAGTATAGTCATCTTTAATTTCTTATGGAAGTGAGCAGTGAATTGCCCCCAGGACTCGGTGGGAAGGACATTTGTTGACTGAGGACTGAACAGTGTGACTTGGTCTGGACAGTGCTGGGTTCTGTAGCTGTGGCTAAAACGCTGGGGTACCGGTCAGCTATGGAAGGACAAATCACATTGGCATTGGTGAACTTGGTGACAGTTAAAACATGGCCCTGCCTGTCACCCAGCCTCCTCGGGGCTCCTGAGTCACGGGGAGCTGTCTGAGGCCCTGTGTGTCATGTGCACCTGAGCCCCAGGTAACTCCTGTGGAGGTCAGGGCTGGTGCTCAGCCAGTTCCCCCTGATACCATCGAGCCTACTGACCCCAGATGTATTCGCAGGCAAAAAAAAAAAGGACAGTCTTTGATCCTAGAGTCCATCAGTGGTCCAGAGACCATGAAGTTTGAGGGGGAGTAAGAAATAAAGCCACGTTTAACCTGCTCCAACTTTTAAACAAAGTGGTAAGCGTATACATTGCAGACTCTCCCATTGCAAACCTGTACCATTTCAAAATAATTTCCTTAACGGATATTTTACATTTGAAGGTGATTCTAGAGATCAACTCGTTATAGAATCTTCTAGACTTCATTGAGCTTGGACGATTTAAGAATGAGAATGCTCGAGCCCAGGCTGCCCCAGAGCCCCCATCCTTGGCCCCACAGGGTGACCCAGAGAGGGGCTCTGACGCTCACCCATTTAATAGTGACTCCGATGGGGTGGCGAACCAGGGCTGGGATATTTTTCTGGACAAATTGCATCGCATGTCGTCGATCTGCTTTTACAGCCACGCTTGACACATCCACCGTCTTCTTCCTGTTCCCCCCCTTCCTCCGCCTCTGAGATTTACAGCTTTTAAGACGAGAGCACCCTTTTCGGCCCCTTGCATTTAAGCTAAAAGCTGACCAGTCTGTAATATAAAACAGAGAATTATGGTAATGAACGAGAGGTTAAAAGCTATCATGGCAAGGGAAACTTGAGCAGGTTGGGCTGACCGATATGGTAAAATTATGTGTTGAATTAAAACAGTAAAATGCTGTGGGATTAATGGAGAAAGGCAGGGACAGGAGGTCAGAAACAGTGCGCTCTCCGCACATTAACCGCCGGAGGGCTGCAGAGCACAGCTTTAGGATATGCTTGCTGCAGAAAAAGTAATTTAGCCTTGTTTTCTTTTTAAATTTCTACTGATTTCAGAGAGAGGAAGGGAGAGGGGGAGAGAGAGAAACATCAATGATCAGAGAGAGCCATGGATCAGCTGCCTCCTGCTCGCCCCCTGCTGGGGATCGAGGAGCCTGCACCCCGGGCCTGTGCCCTGACCGGGAATCGAACCGAGACCTCCTGGTTCATAGGTTGACGCTCAACCGCTGAACCACGCCGGCCAGGCCGTTCATCTGATTTAATAACTTTGGAGAGCAATCGAGAATCTCCCTCTCTGCCTCCCCCCTCCTCCCTGTCTCTCTTCCACCCTTCTGTGCATAAAGAAAGCAGGTGTGGTCCAGGCAAACCCAGATTTTTCAGTGTTGAAGCAAATAAGTGCTTAGCACTCAGCCCCCCTTTTTGGCGTTTGCTTCTGTATTTAAATGTGCTTGAGGTTTTCAACATCCCCGGCACACTGGCTGTTAAGAGGCGGAAAACCTGCGCTTTACAGCAGGTGGGGACAGCCCTGCCTGGCAGTGTGCTGAGGCGGGATCCATCAGCACCACTTCATGCTCCATTTGTCCGAAAAGAAACCCACCGGGGAAACCCTGAGGAACTGTGCCTGTTAGGAAAACACCTTAACACGTTTATTTAAGTAAAAACTTGCCTGTTGGCATTAATCTGGAAGGAAATGGTGTTTTCATTAACCTTCTCCCACAGGCCCGGATTGCGGGCTCCCACTTATATTTATTTCTCTTGTCTTTTCTGATTTTTTTGAGACCCTTTATTGTCTTTGCTGGAAAAAGACACAGTGTAGAAAAGCCACATAGGGCCATAATGCTTAAACCTAGAAACCTTTTTTCCTCCCCAATTTTTTTTTTTTTGTGTGTGTAATCCTTACCTGAAGGTATATTTTTTTCCATTGCTTTTGAGAGAGAGAGAGAAACATTGATGAGAGAGAGACACATCGATGGGTTCCTCATGCCCCAACTGGGGCCAGGGATCCAGCCTGCAAATGAGGTACCTGCCCTTGGCTGGAATTGAACCCGGGACCCTTCAGCCTGAGGGCTGATGCTCTAACCATTGAGCCAGACAGGGCAGGGCTTCTCCCTAAATCCTGATCTCTTTCTCTCTGCAGACCTCATTTGCGAGGATCCGACTCCTCTTTTCATTGCCATTTCCATTCTTTGCCCCTTTCTCTCCTCCACTTCAGGGCGTCCTAGGCTGGGGGTGGGTGCTCCAGGCCAGAGGAGCCCCTGCCGCCTCCCCTGCCCAGGAAACCCCAGGCCCAGCCAGAGCGCGGTTCGGGGCTGGGAGATGAACACAGGTGCTTGGGGGGCTCCGAAGTGGCCACAAAGCCTCACTTTTCTTTCTCTGATTTCTCCTTTCCCAGGTGTAAAGTGGACATCGCTGCACTGCCGCTGAAGCAGGCCAACCGCCTGGAGCTGCCTCTGGACAGCTGCCTGGGGGCCCTCCTGCTGCTGATCACGCTCACTCCCTGCTCGGGGGTGTCCATCTCCGACCTGTGTGTGTGCCCCTTGGCGGACCCCAGCGAGAGGAAGCACATCGCCCAGCGCTATGTGAGTGCTCTGCCTCGCAGCACCGTTGCCACCCCCAGCACCCCTTTTGAGTTGCAGCAAAGTCCATGAATTGAGACACTGCATAAAAAGAGGTCTTGATCCCAGGTTTAATGGTATGTCTCATAAACCCAGACGTCAGACCTAGAGGTTAATGCATTAGCGAGGAGGTGGAAGAACATTAGAGTTTACCTTCCTGCTCCTTTACAAGCCAACAAAGGTGTTTAGAATTTGTAGCTTTTTGGAACTTTGGAGAAAACGGAAATCCTCAGCAAGGCAAACTTGCTTAGCTTGTCTGCATAGGAATTTTAATAGAAGTTCATGAAAGTAGTCATTTAAAAAATATATATATCTTTATTAATTTCAGAGAGAGGAAGGGGAAGAGAGAGAGAGACAGAAACATCAATGATGAGAGTCATTGATCCGCTGTCTCCTGCTCGCCCCCTGCTGGGGATCGAGCCCGAAACCCGGGCCTGTGCCCTGACAGGGAATCGAACCCCGATCTCCTAGATCAGAGGTCGATGCTCAACCCCTGAGCTATGCCGGCCGGGCAAGTAGTTATTTTTTAAGCAGCCATCCATATTTGCAACGTTATAGATACTTTTCCAGAACCTTTTAGATCCAAGTCTTATAAAGCCAAGCCCTGGACAGGTGCGGAGGCCTGTTGTCCTGTCCCACCCGGGATAAAATTGGCATCTGAGATTTTTGTCTAAATAGATGCAATGTGCTTCAAAGTCTGCTCAGCACTTTTAAACCGAATGGCTTTGTCTTCCTCATTTATTTTCCCTCTCTGGCTTCCTAGGTGTCTTTATTTGCATTCCGTTTTTATCCCATCTTCTTTATAAATCAATATGTTTATTGCCACACACGAAAGACATGCTTTAGAAAAGTGGCATAAAGATGGAGCAAAGACGGATCTTTATTTAATGGGAATATTACTCTCAGCATAAACGTTAGTGCCTCCAAAGCCCTTCGCTGGGCAGGTGTATTGATTAATTGAAAAATTCTTCATCTTCGGGAGTGCAAACCCCATAGCCCCACATCTTATCGTGGACACACATTCTGCAGGCAAGGTTGGCATAGTCCAAAGGCATTTGACAGACTCTGCTGTTCCAAATTTTTTCCAGTGGCTTTAGTTAAATAAAAAGTTGATGGTAAAAAATAAAGCTTTTCTCCACATTTTCCCATGGATAAATTGCCAATTTTAACAAATTAATAAATAACAATGCAAGAATCAATTCTTTCGCATACTCACAATTATAAACCTACTTTTGCCCCACCCTGGGTTGAAGCCTTGGCTCATGCAAACTAAAAATGAACATCGCTGTGAGTACAGGGTGCTACTCTGGGCTCAGCCTCCAATTGAATGAGCTGGCTAAGCATGGGCCAGAAAACTCACCCTCCGTTTCCATCCCCACTCCCTTTCCAGGGGTAATAAGAATCGACGGAGGGCCCAGGCGCAGCCCTCTGGTGTCCATAAAGTTTGCACAAACCAGGTCAGAATAATGGTGATTTAAAAGTTTCATTAAAGTGAAAGAAAGAGAAAAGGGGAATGAATGGAGCTCCACGCGCATTTTCCCGGTGGGATCCCTGTGCTTTCACCAGGGGGCGATGTTAAAAGCCGATTGTATGTGTTTGTAATTTGTTCATTTCGAAGCTGTAGTTAATTAATTCTCAGTCACTTTTAATCTGGTGGCTGTCGGCGCCTAACTGTCCTGTTGACGGATACGATGCACTTTGCAGCGTTTCTAAGCGTTACGTGAGAAAGGGGGCGATCAATCTAGAAGGTTCTTCCTGTATGACTTTATGCCATTAAGGGGTATATTAGAAAGCTGTTTTCATTTGCGATCCGCGTTTCTTTTCCTCAGTGCTTACAGAACTCCCTGAAAGATCTGAAGGACATTGGCATCTTGCAAGTGAAGGTTTTAAAGGCCGTGGACCTCTTGGCTGCAGATTTCTCAGGTATAAAACAGTTTTATTCACTTTTTAATTTTTATTTATCTCCCTTTTTGAAGTGATCTTATGGCAAAGCAAAATGTTTTAATAAGTGGAAGTATGGACCCAGCAATCATGCTGTTCCAAATAGAGAAGAGATTTTCAACCTTTGTCATCTCATGGCCCATATAAATACTAAATAAAATTCTGCAGCACACCAAAAAGTATATTATATTTTTTGCCAATCTGACCAAAAAAAGGGTATAATTTTGATTGATTTACCAAAAAATCATGATAGTAATTACCTGCTCTTTTGCTCCAAAGTGACTTTTTACAAAATCAGGCGCCTATACTTGTATATAAGGATTATTGATACCAAGAATTAACCGATCAGACGCAGCCTTATCATGCGACGTGACCGGTAAGATGCAGCTGTTATGTGACCTTTATATTTATGGTTCACACGGGATGGCTACTGTTGTGTTGACCGCTGTCATTTATTTTTATTTGACGGTCTAAGGGAAAAGGGGTCAGTCCCCCTGACTAAATAGTCAGGTATTGCATGTTTTAAAAATTCTCGGGGCTCATCAGTTGAAAATCGCTGAAATAGAGTCAAAAAAGAAAAAAAGACTCAGACAAGCAGTTTTTTCACGGAATGAATCTTTTTTCACCAAAGTCTGCTTCTTCGAACGATCGTGCTCTGATTCGATAATGTTCCTGGTCCATTTGGCTCTCAAAGATATTTGTGGATTCTTAGTGTCATGACTTCTTGGTTAAATTAATTTTTGGGTAACGCTTTTCTGGGGTCCCTCCAAAACCAGAATCGGCTTCTTGCCGTGACTCTGCTGAGGGCCTCTGTGCCCAGGGTGCTTTATTCTTACCCACTTTGCAGTTGCCAGTGCTTTGCACAGGGTTTCTCTTGGTGCTCCACTAACCTGGACTCGGAGGCATTGGCTAGAGTAGACCTGCCTTGTGCTGAATGATGCCTGACCGGGAGGAGAGCGCTCTGGACATTCCAGTGTCTGATTGGAGGGTGACTGTCCCTCGTTGCCAAATAAATCATCCCCTGCGCTGACGAACGATTTAGACACCTACACGACAGATGTTATTTACCAAGAAAATTGATGAGTACAGAGAATATCATACAGCGCGGCTCCTCGACATGGTAGTGCATGTTTATTTACTTATTTCACATTTTTATATTTTTTTTAACCGTCCCCCGAGGATATTTTTTCCATTGCTTTTCAGAGAGAGTGGAAGGAAGAGAGTGAGAGAGAGGGAAACATTGATGTGAGAGAGACACATCCCTTGGTTGCCTTCCGCATGTGCCCCACCTGGGGGGAGCCTAGGTGTGTGCCCTTGGCTGGAACTGAACCCAGGACCCTTCAGTCCACAGGCTGGTGCTCTAACCACTGAGACAAACTGCCTAGGACTTTATCTCATATTTTTAGAATGTGGTCTTTTCCTCCCAACAGAAACAGTTATACTGAATTTGTATAACTTCTGAACTTCAGAGTCTGAGTTTGAGGAAGCTCAAGCTTTGGAAAAGAGAATTTTCATTTTAAGCACTTTATATTACAAAAATGATGGGAAATGTTACGTTTCTTTAAGAAAAAAATGTTCTCTCTCTCCCTGAGAAAGTGAAACAATGGAAATTACTACTCTATAAGCCCCCGAAATAAATAAGGTGATCTCGATCTTAAGGAAATACCCAGTGAGAAATCCAAAAAAAGGTTTTGGCCAGTATGGCTGTAAATTTCTCAGGCTTGTAGATGAAACACTCAGATGATTACTTCTAAGGCTCATTAATTTAGTTGCAAAAGTTTCCAGTGTTGTATTTATTTAAACTTTTTTTTTTAAACAATTTACAGTTTATGAAAACACTTAATTCAAACATCTCCCACGTGCCCTTGCAATGAATAGTTCTATCATCACTAGAGCACATTTGGAGTTATCTCCCAGTTTTCCAGGGCAAATTATTTTTACTTCCATCTAAACATGTACATATAGCTCTTTTTAAACCTATGATTGTTCATGTCATGGGGAATGTTACCTCAAGTCAGTTTGTCTGTCCATCTATGTTGTTAATAAATAAATTTAAGGCTCTGGCCTGTCCCTCTGTTATTAAGAAGGGCCTGCCCATTTCTGCTGGCCCAGTCAGCCCCCTCCTAAACCTTGCTTAAAATTCACCTCCACTGTGGATTCTTCGTAGACTTTAACCAACCAAATTAAATGCCCTTGAACTTGAGATTTCTCTTCTACACCAACATTCCTCGCTTTCTAGAAGATGGAAGGAAAACTGCATAAAGCGTGGTTTCTTGCACAGAGCGGGAGGAGCCAACACCCATCACCAGCAGCCAGGGGTGTCCCTGCGGCCCCTCTGTCACTGGGCCATGTGTGCCCGTGTCGGGTTTGCCTGGATCAGGCCCCTTGGGTGAAAATACAGGGCTCACTTTGGAACAGAGACGCACAGATGTAGGATGTCAGACATACCAGGAAAACATACAGCCCGAGGTCAAAGGCAGAGCACTCAGTCCGCTGGTGGGGAACATGGGGGAAGTTTTCATGGAAAAGGTGACATTTGCTAAAAAGCAGAGACTGTTCGGAGAGTCCCATAAAGGTAATGGCCTGGTGGCCTGTGTACATCAGGGCCTGGTCCGCTGCCAGGAGTAGAGTGTGCGCTTAATAAATATTTGTCAGATGACTGATACGACCTCTAAAATACATTTATGACTTGTCATCCCACTCCTGTAACTCATATAAAGGTAGAATTATTTAAATGAGGAACCTCTACTTGCCATTCGAGGAATGTAAATGAACTTGAAAGCGGTGTCGGAAATGGCCCAGGCTCTTGAGTGCAGGGTGCTCAAGCCCCGTGAAACTCCAGGGCCGGTGGTGTGATGCGTCAAGGTGACATGGCAGCTGGCTCTGGGGGGGTCAGCTAGACGCTTCACCTGCAGACACAGGCGGAGCGCGGAGGAAAAGTGCCCACCCGAGCGGCCGTGGGTCAGCTTGCCCGGTGGCGTGCTCGGTCCCACTGGGGAACACTGGGCGTGTCATTTATTACAGGAAATCATTCTGATCCTGAGTAAAAACGCTTATTTAAATTTCATTGAAAGGCCCTGAACTTGGAACCTTTGCAGGGAAAATAATTCATAAAGTATTTATAAACGACTGTCAGTGGCTAAACGTCTTTGTCTCTTAATCTTTCTCTCTGCCTGTCTATCCTGTAATATTAATAAATGCGGCATTTTAATGAGCTTTGACGGGATTATCTTCAGGGAGCTGGTGCCCTGTGTTCCGTGGAGACACGTGACGGAAGTTCCCAGTTTCTGGAAGGAAGGATGCTCCCCATTAGCTGGGACGGCTGGGTGCGGGGTGCGGGCCCAGGCCCAGCTCCAGCCCCTGTGGCTCCGCCCTGCTGCGGAGCAACCCCAGGGCTGGCATTAAAAGTGTCAGCCGGTGTCCCCGGAGCAGGCGCTGATGGACTGTCACGTTGGTGTCTCTGGAGGAGCCGGGCTGACACCTCCTAACAGTCTGCCAGCTGGTTAAGCAGAAGCCGCTGTTGCAGCCCGGGCTGGGGGACCCAGCGCCCGCTGCCTGAGCGCGCAGCTGAGAGAGGGCTGGGTGCTCTCTTTCAGGGTCACGGTTGTTGTTGTTTTTAATATATCTTTATTGATTTCAGAGAGAGGAAAGGAGAGGGAGAGAGAGAGAGAGAAACATCAATGATGAGAGCCATTGATCGGCTGCAGCCCGCAACCCAGGCCTGTGCCCTGACCGGGAATCGAACCCCGATCGCCAGGATCCTAGGTCGATGCTCAACTGCTGAGCCCCGCCCAGCTGGGCTCAAGGTCACGGTTGTTGAGGGGACAGTATATTCTTTATTATTGCCAGGCTCCTGCCCACCCAGCCCCTAGCCCGTGCCTTGCAAATCATTCCGAGTAAAACACTCTTTTTTAAAAAAAACAGATATCTTTATTGATTTCACAGAGAGGAAGGGAGAGGGAGAGAGAGAGAGACATCAATGATGAGAGTCATGGGTCGGCTGCCTCCTGCTCGCCCCCTGCTGGGGATCCAGGAGCCTGCACCCCGGGCCTGTGTCCTGACCAGGAATCGAACCCTGATCTCCTGGATCCTAGGTCGATGCCCAACTGCTGAGCCTCGCCCGGCTGGGCTCTGGTGTCAGATATTGGCTGAGATTCTTGTGCCTGAGTCTTCCCATATTTTCCAGTGCTTTCTCAAGCCGGATTTTGCATTGTTTGCAATGATCCTGAGAACTGTGTAGTTCATTTTCTGCTCATTTTAGGCGGGGACCATTTTCGTTGTTAGTAACTGACAGCTTGAACTCATTCATTTACCCCCATGACCTGATCATCTCCTACTGGCCACTGAGATAACAGCATTGACGTAAAGGCTGTGGCCACGCATGTGTGTGTCCAGGCCTCTGGTCAGTTGTATGAATCTCCAGTTTAATCCTGACCCTTCCCCATGCATCTGCTCTTCTCTCTTTTTTTTTTTAAAAAAAAAATACAATCTTCACGCAGGCTTCTGCACATGTAGGTCTTGCTATTGATGTGCAGCACCTCCTGGTCATTAAGTGAATTAGATCTAAGTTCAGTGACCTGAATGGGAGGCCAGGAGGTCAAGAGGCCTGAGCACTCCCTGCGTTAGGCCCTGGCCTGGTTTCCTTGGCCATTTGCTGGAGCAGCATCTGTCCTATGCCCCCAATTAATTTAGTGCACGCTGCCCTGCAAGTCGCCGGTGCGCTGCGGAGGCGTCAGTGTGCTCCTGCCTTGTAGACATTACAGAGCCAGTCATTCCTTTGCTGGCAGCCCCGATTCTAGATCCTTCGGCCAAACCCAGCGAAAGTGGAGAGAATTTTACAGGGTCACTTTGTGGGTCCAGCTTTGGGTGCTGGATTTTTTTTTACTCTGTTGGAAGCCGTGTGAGGTAGGGTGGAAAAAGAAGAGGTGAGGTAGGGGAAGTAAGGGTTAAGCTTTTTCTTTTAAAGGTAAAAACTTGGAGCTGACTTTTTTGGAATTATACTTTCGCATGTTTGCGAGCACCCAAAATGTAGCCTATGTTCTCACAATGCACTGAACATGCAGGATCATATATGTTTGGCCACTCACTCCAACGCTGCTTTAACTCCTAGATAGCCCTGTTTACACTTTTTCTCACCTCTCACACCATTTGGGAGCCTGTAAGTTATCATGAGCTCACAGTTATAGACAAGTAATGATCTCCATGCGCTCAAAGAGAATCTAGGAAGGAAACAGAGATGAGCTTCTGGGTTTTTTGTTTTTGTTTTTGTTTTTTAATTGATTTCAGAGAGAGAAAGGGAGAGAGAGAAACATCAATGATGAGAGTCATGGATCAGCTGCCTCCTGCTTGCCCCCTGCTGGGGATCAAGTCTGCATCCTGGGCCTGTGTCCTGACCCGAAACCGAACTGCGATCTCCTGGATCCTAGGTGGATGCTCAACCACTGAGCCACACCGGCCGCGTGACCTCTGTCACCTCTGAGACTCATTTGTCTCTGACCAGTGTCTCTGTTCTCTTTCCAGGGAAGAGCGATCCTTTCTGCTTGTTGGAGTTAGGCAATGACCGGCTTCAGACACACACCATTTACAAGACCCTCAACCCCGAGTGGAACAAAGTTTTTACATTGTAAGTGCTTTAGCCGCTGGAATATCCAGGCACGTCTTTAACTCCCAGACCAGTTATCCCTGATACGTTTGGGGTGGCCTGGGGCTCCTGAGTGGAACTTTCTGTCCATTTCTCTATGCCAAGAATGAGTTTTATTGTTTTTTTTTTTTTTTCCCCTTCCGAAAACCTTTTTATCTTTTCGTTTTATAGACTTGAGGGGTAATAATAGAAGAGACCATTTGGAACTGCACAGGAGTGGGAGAGGAGGCATGTAAAGTAGGTTTTTAGTGACTAAATTAATCAGTGAGTGGAGGGAAGCTTCAGTATATCCAGACGAATTCATCCCTGGGTTAAAGAAGATTAGGAATGCAGGCCTGCCTTAAATTCAAAGAGCTTATATGTTACAGCATTATTTTAATTATATTCTGCCAGGGCCTTCTGGAAAAATACAGGTCATCTGTGAGTCCTCAGAAGTCCCACAGGCTCCTTGTCAATCTCGGTGACGTGGTCCACGTTTGAACTCAGGCACTTAGGGGGCTGGTTGTATTTCTTAGTTTGCCTTAGACTCCGGATACCTGACCATCCCTGTTGAATTTGGGTGAAACAAATGGCAGTTTACTGCCTTCACTAAACTGAACGCTCTGCCTGTGCTTGTGGCCGAAAGAGTAAGGTCTGTTTTCAGTGTGCTGATGGTTCCCAAGTAGGTGGTTCCCAGGGCCAGTGAGAAGTGGACCAGCTCTGCCGAGCAGGTTTGCAAATTGCCTCGTGCAAGAGTCTCTTGTTCGCTGAAGACATTGCCATCGACCGTAGCTCCATTGGTCGCTGGAGCTGATGTCAGATTTCTGGTCAACATAAAACATGTTTCTAAATACGATGGGATTTTTAGCATGTTGGATTGTATTTCAATAATAGGACATTTTCCGTGGACCTCAGCCAATAGTGATTTTAACCACTTATTTTTAAGTGAATTCTTCATAATTTTTAAAAAAATATGTTTTTTATTGATTTCAGAGAGAGGAAGGGAGAGGGAGAGAAACATTAATGGTGAGTCATTGATTGGCTGCCTCCCGCACGCCCCCTGCTGGGGATCGAGGAGCCCGCAACTCGGGCCTGTGCCCTGACCGGGAATTGAACCTCGACCTCCCGGTTCATGAGTGGACAGCCACTGAGCCACGCCGGCCGGGTGAATTAATTAAAAAAGAATCTTATTTTTGCTCTTCTTGGAGGTTACTAAAAGGACATCGCTGTCCTTTCACGCTCCTCACTCTGTCTCCATTCTCTCCTCACCCTGTTTCTCCAACAGCCTTACCTCTGAGCGGGTGTAGACTTGGGAAATGTCATCGAGTAAAAAAGTTGACTTCTTTTTTCATGTGGATGACTGAAACTTCTCTGATGGAAGGTTTGGGAATATAGTCAGTTTGATTTAATTTTTGGAGTTTAATTAAATGGGAGTTTGATCCTCTAAGGACATACAGACTTAATTAGTGAAACCGTGTTTTCAGATCTTCGTGGAGCAGACTTCACGTGCGTGTGTTTGTATATGACACACGTGTGTTTTCTTGTTTCAGTCCCGTTAAAGATGTCCACGATGTCTTAGAAGTGACGGTGTTTGATGAAGACGGAGACAAGCCCCCTGATTTTCTTGGAAAAGTCTCCATTCCCTTGCTGTCCGTAAGTTGCCTTTGTTAATAGTTGACACGTTTCTATGGGGCTTGATCTGCTTTATCTTTGCAACCTGGATGCAAAGAACTCCTTCCCATTCTAGCGGGAAACAGTTGTTTTATTATTTATTGTTATTCATTATTTTCAGTAGTTTCAGGTATAAAATAACATCATTTTCTTTCTGTGTCAGTCAAATATGGTTGAACCAACCCAAACATTTTGACCTGTCTTTTACAATTCACGCTCAGTCTTTCTATCTTAAGATGGGAGTTTCTCTTTGGTTTCAAGACATACATAATCTGGGACTGATTTTGCATTCGTTGATAAAAAACATATTTGTATTTCTTTATTACCTCCTCACTGCCCATTTCTTCAAAGATTAATTGCTGAGAACCTCACGGTTGTTCTCAGTTCCACTAAAGATCATTTTCTCTGAAGGCCTGTTTGTCTTTTTAGTAGTCATGATTGCTTTCAGTCTCGAAAATGCTCTGAGGAAGAAAGCAGGGAGCCTCTCTTGCAAAAAGAGGGCTGTTTCCAAAGTCCAGCTGCAAAGCAACGTGCCCGAGTAACCTAAGAGCTGAATCAAAAAATACCCCATAAAATTCAGAGGTGAAAGCACCAGATTCTGACCTTACATCGGCAGAGGAGGAAACTGGGATCTGAAGTCACCTATTAGGACGTTAATGTGTGTACCAGTGTATTGTTCTAGAAGACAGAACTCCAGGTTTCCATCCAACCCTGAAGACAGTTTGTTGTCCAGCCTCTGTGGCCTTATCAGTCAGTGAGGCTTTATTTCTTTCTTCCCGGAGACTTATCGGGCCGAGGCGATTAGTGTGTCATTGTGGCTGGAACAGTCTGTAATGCAGCCCCGAGATTAGACGAGCTCGCATGAAGTTTTCAGCGAGGGCGGCACCACTGCACCTCCCAATATCTCTCCTGTTTTTGATCGCTTGGCTAATTTCTCCCCAAGTTCTCATCTCCCCGATGTCACTCGAGGAGAGCGTGGAGCAGCTGCTCCGCCGTGGAGCTGGCTCCTGCCACCTGCTCCGAGCCCGAAGCAGCAGGCCGCGCCACTCTCCGCGAAGGGATTCCTCCTGTTTTTATTAAAACTTTGTCAGTTATTCCTAAAAGAATACATGTAACGGGCATGGAGCACAATTTTATTTTATTATTATTTTTTAATGTCTTTATTGATTTCAGAGAGAGGAAGGGAGAGGGGGAGAGAGAGAAACATCAATGATGAGAGTCTTGGATCGGCGGCCTCCTGCTCGCCCCCTGCTGGGGATCGAGGAGCCTGCACCCCGGGCCTGTGCCCTGACCGGTAATCAAACCGCGACCTCCTGGATCCTAGGTCGATGCTCAACCGTTGAGTAAGGCAGGCTAGGCAAAGGTGTGCTTTTTTAATCAATAAGGAAAAGATCTGTCAACCTAGCAGAAAAGTTAATTTGAAGAGGGAGAACTCAGAATAGTTAAACTAATAGTCACATGAATGGCTCATGCTTTATTCACACACGATTATGATTATTATGAGTATAGATGATGAAGCCAGACCACTTGGGTTGGAGCCAGTTTTCTTCCTTAACTGGCTGTGTGGTTTTTGATGATGCTGAGCCTCTCTGTTTCTGTTTCCTCCTTGATGAAGTGAAGATACTTATCATAATACCTACATTGGAAGCCTGTGGTGAGGATTTCAGTGGTGTGGCAGATGTAAAGTGAGCACATTAGAGCACACAGTAAGCACTTAGAGTGTAAGCTATCATCTCCATCACCTTTGCAGTAGTAAATTAAATTACAACTTCGTTTAAGCAACCCAATTAATAAATACAGTAAAGGTTTTCCATTAGCAGTGATGACTAAGTGTAGAAAAAGGACTCTCAGGCCAGCCACCATGGCTCACAGTTGAGCGTGGACCATGAGCCAGGAGGTCGCAGCTGGATTCCCGGGCAGGGCACAGGCCCGGGGTGCAGGCTCCTCCATCCCCAGCAGGGGGCGTGCAGGAGGCAGCCGGTCAGTGACTCTCATCATTGATGTTTCTCTCTCTCTCTCCCCCTTCCTCTCTCTGAAATCAATAAAAACCTATTTTAAAAAAAGAAAAGAAAATGACTCTCAAACACTGTTGGAGAGAGCTTAACTTAGAACAAGCCTTGTAGAAGGCACCTTGGTGAAGTGGATTAGAATTGAATAAACACGTATCTTTGAGCATTTATATGCTAGGTATCTATGTTAGAGAGGCCACTGAGACTCGCAGATACAGACATTACCTGCGGTCACACAGATGCTTAATGCCAGAAGCGGGAATTGAATAAGTCTGGTCTCTCAATCCTACCGTGGCCCACTGTTAATAAACATAGGAAAGAAAAGGTTCAGTCTCATTGGCTATAAAAAAGAGCACATATTGAAACGACCCGAGGCATTTTTATTCCTGTGAAATTGCTGTATATTAAATAAAAATGGCCAGAGTTGCAAGGAAATGAACGGTCTTCCTCTCAGAGGCTAGGACGGTAAATTAACACAGCATTTTAGGAGGGACAAAGCGTCCAAGTAGGTCTAGCCTATGACTCAGCAGTTGTGCCCCTAGGAATTTGTTTTTGGGAAGGCATACCTCCTCTGTCCTTCTGTTTCCTAACCTATAAAAGGTGGATTTAAAAATGACACTTATCTCAGAGATGGGTGTGAAATGATCAGTAAAAACAGTAAGAACAGTGACCAGTACATCGAGGTTGCTTGTTAATAACATCTAGGTTTTAGTCTTATTTTAATTTATATATTTTCAATCTCTTAGCCTTTAAATTTAAGAAAATGTGTGGGCAACATTCCCCAATGTAGTATTTGGTTATTATTTCCGTGTTTAATTATAATATTAGATATTGAAATGCACCAGTCTGTTCCCAAACCAAACATATTCCACATAGCTTTTTCCCAAAAGCTGTTCCTTCTAGCAGACAGCCTGAATAGGGGGATCAACCCAATGTTCATCAACAGGAAAATTCATAAATTGTGGGTTATTTATATATTTGTTTGTTTGTTAATTTTTACCCGAGGATATTTTTTCCCCCATTGCTTTTCAAAGAGAGTGGAAGGGGGGGGGAGAGAGAGGAACATCGATGTGAGGGAGACACATCCATCGGTTGCCTCCCCTCCCACACGCACCCCTACTGGGGCCTGCCCCTGACCAGGAATCAAACCCAGAACCCTTCGGTCCGCGGGCCGATGCCCTAACCACTAAGCAAAACCATATTGTGAATATTCTGGGCTGTATTTTGAATATTATATAGCAATTTAAAGAAATGAGGCAGATCTACATACTTATACAAATTACTAAATACGAAATCATATTGTTAGATACAAAATGAAGTTGCAAAGTNTTTTGAATATTATATAGCAATTTAAAGAAATGAGGCAGATCTACATACTTATACAAATTACTAAATACGAAATCATATTGTTAGATACAAAATGAAGTTGCAAAATGAAGTTGCAAACGTGTAGTTTGTGAATATAAATTCTCAATGAAAATTTAGGAATTTACATGCCCAATTCCTATCTAATTTCCATCCTAGGGGAGAAATCGTGGTATTTATAGAAGTTCAAAGGGACTTTAATTTTTTCCCATTATTTTTCAAACTTGAAAAAAAAATTTTACACTTAAAATTTATATATTTTAAGATAATATTATATTAAAGTGCCAAACATGAATAGCCTTAATTATATCTCTGTCTTTTATAGCTACTTGAATGTCCCTTGGCAGATTCTGTGTTTTGCTGACACAATGCTAGGACATTGAGAAAGAGGAAATGATCATTTACCAAATCAAAAAAACAAACAAAAAAAAAAAGAACCCAAAAAACAACAAAGCTTTTTTTTTTCACTATAAAATATTTCTTTTTATACTGATAGCCCATGTTCTTCTGTTTGACCTTCCCCAGCCCTTAAGAAATCATGGAAATTTTAAGATAACAGTACAATGCCTGTGGGTTGAGGCAGAGCTAAATTGGACGAAAGTCCGCTTGGCAAATTGTCATGCTGTTTTTGTATTTATTTCTTTCAACTTTCACACCCACAATTTATTAAGTGACACTGTGGATAAAAGAGGAAGCCCAGAATCCTGTTTGGACACCGTTTCGGAAGGAAACCAGGTCTTTATGGGGCACCCCCTTCCTTTCAGGCATTGGCCAGGAAAACCATCTTTCTGTTGAAGACCTATTCAATCTAGAGAGGTGGGGTGACTTTGGGAAGGAAGGTGACCTCTCCCTTGTAAAGTGAAATGGCTCTGTTTCCCCCCATGACTGATTCAACTCATTTCCACCACTGTTTATAAGAACACTTGTGCTGAACGCTTGTAGTGACAGCAATAGTCATTTAAAATATGGCTCGGATTTCATGGCCTCAGATTTCCTATGTTATTTCAAATCTGTGGTGGTGACAATCCCAAATGGCGCTTTCGGTCGGCTCAGATTTTGCTGATGTCATTTTCAGAGTTAACAGGTATGCCTCCTACGAGCCAGAAGTTTAATCAATACGTATTCCACTACTGAGTATAGTAAAAGCATCCCTGCTGTCAATTCTGAAAAGAAATGGCCTTAATGGGAGCCGAGTTGTTTCCAGCATGATGCAGGAGGAGGTGTTTTTCTTGGATGCCTTGCGTGCTGGGGCCCACGGCTTAGACTAGTGTGTGAAGCTGATGGGATATTCTGGCCTGGAGAGCCTGTCAGTTTATTTTGAAGGTTTGTCAACACTTTGTACAGTTTTGAATGTTTTTGGATTTTTGACCTCAGCTTTAGTGATCTGATTTCTTTAATTTGCATTTTCCCTGCCTGGGAAACACTGACCATTTTATTAAAATCGGTTCCTTGATTCATTTCTTTAAAATATTTCCATAAGCTTTTTATTTTGGAATAATTTACAGAAAAGTTGCAAATATAATACAGAGTTTCCAAATACTACTCACCTGGTTTCCCCTACAGTTAACATCTTTTATGGCTGTGATGCATTTTTCAAAACTAAACAAAAAAACTAGAAAAACACAACTGAAAAAACACTAAAAGAAAACAGCCTGACATTGTGCGTTACTGTTGTGCATTACTGTTCACTAAACCCCGGTCTTTATTTGAATGTCACCAGCTTTTCCAGTGATGTCCTTTTTCTGTTCCAGGATCCAACCCAGGGTACTCAGCACATTTTGCATTTATTCGTCTTATCTCTATAGTCTTCTGATTTGTGACAGTTTCCAAGAGTTTCCTTTTTCCCATGACCTTGGCCGCCTTGAGGAGTACTGGCCAGGAATTTTGTAGAATATTTATCTTTTTATGTAATAAATAAAAATGTGTAACCTCTGAGATTATTGAAAGAAAGCCCATGTAAACTTAGTAATAATTTATGTCAATAATTTTCCATTCAGACAATCAGTTTCCATTAAGATAATCAGTCACTTTAGCTTCTTATCGGTTATAACAGCACTCTAGAATTAAAAGCTGATTTAAGATGATTTTAATATTTGCCTAATCTGTGCTTGATCTGTGTGTGCATTCTGCCTCCTCAACTTTGTCGGTTTGTTTAGTTGAAACCCCAGAGAAAGTTTGTATTTTGTCTATTGCTTATGACAGATTCGAGACGGACAAACAAATTGTTACGTACTGAAGAATAAAGATTTAGATCAAGCTTTTAAAGGAGCCATATACCTGGAGATGGACCTCATCTATAATCCGGTAAGTCTAACTGGGCCACATCTTCAGATTTCTCTACACCTAACCTGAAAGGTGACCAGCCTGGAGAGGCTCAAATCCATGCAAAAATTTCAAATTTATTGCAGAGAGCGAGAGGGAAGGGCTAGGGGAGAGAGGGAGAGGGAGAGACAGAAACATCGATGACCAGAGTCATTGATCGGCTGCCTCCTGCACACCCCCTGCTGGGGATCGTGACCTGAGCGGGAATCGAACCGCGACCTCCCGGATCATAGATTGATTCTCAACCTCTGAGCCACGCTGGCCGGGCGAAACGCCTCCCTTTTTAACAGTGGTGTCTTTCTAGGTCAAAGCAAGCATTCGGACCTTTACGCCCAGGGAGAAGCGATTTGTTGAAGACAGCCGCAAGTTGTCCAAAAAGGTAGGCCTCGGGGCCAGCTGGCTGTTGGCACACTTAGCATCCAGGACCCGAAGTCCTGTTTGTCATTACTTTCTCGGGTCTCCCCTTTTCTCTCCTCCTCTTCTGTCATTTCCAGTCCCCACCTCTCCATTCCTTTCTCTTTTCCCCCCATCTCTCCCCAAACAAGGTCTCCAGGCAGTTTGATAAGAAAGGAAAGGCTTGAGCCATGTCTGTTGGATGAAACAGGGGGGCAGCCCTCCCCTGACCCCCGAGTCAGCCTGTGAGCAGCACCCCTAGGCTCAAGCCTCTGGAAGCCTCCGACCCCGGGCCCTTAATCACAGCCCCTTCTGTCCCTGCCCTTCACAGTTTCTGGAGGAACTCTGTCCTTTAAGTTCACAAAGAAATTATCCCGATGGGTCTCCAGAGACGCCCAGCCTCGGACCCGCGCAGGTTTCCCTGCCACGTTTGTCTTGTCTAAATTCGGGGCGTGCTGGCACTTCACCTCGTTTCCAATGACCTGTCCCCCCTCTGTGCCTCTTGCCCTGAATACTGTCCTCGTTTCAACCAAGAGTGGACATCTGAGCCCAGCAGGGGAAGTTTCACATTTTTTTCAGACGTGACTTTACATTTATTTTCAGCCCCTCCCTGTCCTGTTCAGACGGCGCTCGGGATCTCACTCAGTACCTATTGTCCCACTGTAGCTGTGTAACCAAGGACAAAGTGTCCCCTTTTTTTAAGTGTTTATTACTTCCCGCTCTTCCCGTGGGGTGAGCAGCTGCGGATGACACAAAGCAGTTAACCAGAAAGGCATCTTATCGCTCTTGCATTTCCCACGAACTTCTGGGCCCACTTGGGAAAGGCCCTCCGTGGCTCCTGAAGGGAGCATCCAAATGTTTTGCTTTGGTCTGCAATAACACCGGGCGTAATATTTACCTTGGGTAATCGGAGTAAACCTCTTATTTTTTTAAATTCTTATTATTGCCGTCTGCTCTGTTTACTTGAAAGTTAAAACCTGAGTCGAGGTAGGTGGGGTCGCTGCTTTGCAAACAAATTGAAATGAATCCGCCTGCAGCTGGGAGAAGAGACGTTTCCTTTGCCAAACACAGACCACCGCGTGGGGTGGCTTTGGGCTCTGAGAGCACCCGGGGATTCGGGGCTGGGATCCTGGGGTGTGTTAGGACCCTCCCCTGTGCCTCCCACCACTAGGTGTCCCCCACTACCAAGTATCCCCTTATTTCCATAAAAATGAAACTTGTGCTTATGATGCAAATAATTAAAAGCACTTACTGTGTGACAAGCAGTATTTCAGGTACTTGAATTCTCTCCAGGATCTTCAAGGTTGGGACTAATTTGAACCCCACTGAAAAGAGAGAGGTTAAGAAACTGGCCCAAGCTCACAGAGCTGGGGGATGGGAGATCTGTGTTCCTTTCCCAGAGCTATGCTTTCCTATAGATTTTTCCTTCTGATTTTCCTATAGACTGGATTAGTTAGAATACCCTTACATTTCTGCTGTAAATTATCTATTTCTTTCTAAACTAAACGAGGTAGACACTTGACCCATTCTCTGTCTCTGTCTCTGTCTCTGTCTCTGTCTCTGTCTCTGTGTCTGTCTCTGTCTGTCTCTCTAACATCC